AGAGGTCAATTTTATCCTGTTTCTTAGGTTAGATTTGATAAATTCACTGTAGATGAAAAACATCTAGAAAAACATCTAAACGTCAAAAACGCCATCTAAACGCAAGGAAAACATCTAAATGTGGATTTTAAATATCCAAAGTGCACACGTGTGTAACTTGGCAGTATCACACGCCTGAAGGTTGCAACGTTTGATGACTCTGAACTCAGCTGGTCGTTGTTGCTGACACAGTTAAAGAAAATCGAACAAGACGTACGCATGACGTTGCTGGTATTTACTCTCTGTGTATTGCTGTTGCCAGGGGCAAAGGTCAAATGAGGCTGACAGTTGATGTGTATGTTTGGGGATGAGGGTTGTTCTCTTGGTGGCTAGATTTCCGTGCTTGTTGTCCAAAAAACGGCTCACATGGACACACGTTGATGCACGTGTAAATTGGCGTAGCTGTCGCGGTTACTTGACGTCTGCGTGTTTGCTTGCCAGTTTATCCAGTCCTCTGGAACCCATTTTCTTTCTAGCTTGCTCTCTTTCTTGGGGAAACACCTCTGACCTCCCCCACGTGACACTCACGTGCAGCAACATACACGAGATGTTCCGCGTCACGTCCGCCAGTTGCTGGTCGTGTCTTGTTTGTGACCACGGCCTTCTCTATTTATAGGCCTTACAGGTCAACGGGGATTCCCGTTCTTGTGCAAGAATTGAGTCCCTCTGCATCCACAGTTTTTATCGAGGAGATGTATACACAAATTAAACTACAGTTTCATTAATTTTCGACATATTTTATAGAACTATACGTCATTTTTAAGGTAAATAAGTGTGCCAATTAAATATAACAATAAAGGCTCTTACAGACAAACAAAAATGCTTTTGCTACAGTCAACATGAACATAAACATCAATAACATTTAGATATAAACTAAAAGTTGTTCCAGCAAAAGTAAAGAAATATCAGTCCTAACTCTTTGATTCTGAGAGGATATTGTTGCATCAGAGGAGCGGGGGAAAAGGGGGGGGGGCAGGTGGGTGACATTTGTACTTTACAAATTTAGCGCATAAAAATACTGCTATGAAACATACACATGTCATACATTACATAACTATAAATGATTTATGGTTATTATTATTAGTAGACTACTACAACATATAATTATATTATTTAATAATTAGTAAACAAGCACAATCAATAAAATTGATATGTGCAATACTTTTTTCACCCAGAGTACTTTTCTTAACAGTACTTATAGCACTACTAAATATGTCTCCTCAAGGTAAAAACAGCACAAACAAATTTGTCCAGTTTCATCTTGTTGGATGAAATCTATTCCTTATCATTGCAAATTTTTTGGTTAGTGTTTAAAAATACATCACACACATTTCCAATTACTGCATGCAACAACGCGTATAAGTATCATGAATGGTATATTATTTTAAAGGTAATTAAAGCAAATTAAAAAAGACCATATAACTGCAAATTGCTGAGCAACATACACATATCAAACAAAAAAAATCCCTATATAGATAACAGATCTCGTTGTTCAAAACTGTCTGGAACAAGACTAAAGCCCAGAATAAGATGAACAACCAGAAGTTTCTGCCAGAGTTTACAGCCAGTGTTTGCGAAGCAAAAGCCAATTTACAAAAATTAATACAGACTGTACAACTGCAAATATGCATAAGAAGTGGATGAACAACCAGAAGATTCCGCAGGAGTTTACAGCCAGTGTTTGCGAAGCGAAGCAAAAGCCAGTTTACAAAAATTATCACAGACCGTACAACTGCAAATATGCATAAGAAGTGGATGAACAACCAGAAGTTTCCACAAGAGTTTACAGCCAGTGTTTGCGAAACATAAGTCAAATGGTTAAGGATTAATATTATTAGTGTACTGCTACAACATATAATTATACTGTTAGTCAACAATTAATAAAGAGGCAAAGAGTGTTAGAAGGAGGTACAATGAAGTGTATCCTCTCAATTGTAACTTTACACTCTCACATCTGGCGCACTGTACACAGCCGTTGTATCTTCACACCTCAAAGACTTGCTGAGAGAGGTTAGTTAGTAAATTAAATATTACTTTCATCCACTTACCTAGAGCTCCGAAATATCTTGACACAATTTATCCACAGTGTGGTTGCACCATTTATGCACAGTCAATATGAAAGCAATAGTTTTTTTCCAACACAAGATAGTTTGCACCTGACAACTTTCGATATTCTCCAGATATGGCTTCTAAATTACCTGTTTGTATTTTCCCTAAAAGTAAGATTTTTACATTTAAAGTAGAAAAGTAATAAACAGCCAGTTCCCCAAAATCCGAACTACTGACTAGAAACAGTGACACACACATCGCAACACGACTGTCTCCCGTGAATTAAAATTAAAATTGCTGTAATCTAACAAAAAAGTATGAAAATCTTGTATATCCACTTTACAATATCCGCTTGTCGATTTGTAATAAGAATACAATCAGAACACAACAGTTTGAAAGCATATTATATTGTCACACAATGCAACATGGAAACGCTTCAAGTAACCTATTTTTGAGGGCACTCAGCCAAAATGTATTGTGATTCAGTTTTTAGGCAATATTAGAGAAAGCAGTGTTTGTGACACGGATATTTCCCTGTACCTCCCCACCCTTCAGCTCTGAGGCGGAGAGTTTGATTTGTAATACCCATCTTTAGCTGATCTTTGTTCCCAGATAGACCCAGTCTTGAGTGGGTACTAGGTGCAGTCCTGGGGAGTACAGGTGGCCGGCGTGATGCTGACTACATCACACACCAAGTGTCAATTAGTTTATAAAATATAGGTCTAGCCCTATATGCCTACTAAGTAACGTTAGCTAATCGACTGGGAAACGGGGAAAATGTGGGGGGGGGGGGGGGGTTTGGTTATCTAACATGTGATTAGTGGTTCAGCTGCCGCACTATCTCTCCACCCCCCCCCCCCCCCCCCCCCAACACCCTTTTTTCCATAGTGGACATTTCTCTGTTCAAGTAACCATTCCCGGTCCTATACACACAGTGTTTGACTGCTTATTCATGCTTGCTAACCTTTCACATGCGCTAGTCTAAGTTAGAGGGGAGTCACGCTCGGCTCTCATCCTTTCTGCAGTTATTGTTTTCCTTTATTCTATTTCCTTTCCTGATGCGCTGCCTCCACACAACATGGCCCATGGCATTTTGTTATCATGAGTCATTCTAAATACCTGTATCATTCATGTCCCGCTTGCACACATCTTTGATATCGTAGTAGAGGTCTCACATTGACATTTTTATCTCACATTAAAAAAAATTTCAATATAAATCCCTGCAGGCTCATTGCGTAGAGGCTTACAGTTCCATGATCCTGGAGTACGAGGGTTCGTTCCTGCCTGAGACAGTTAAAAAAATAAAAAAAAATAAAAACCACTGTTCTCGTGGTTTTTGCACAATGATACAAGAGTTGCAACGTGGAAGAGATTAGAGCTTCACCAGGTAATATCCCCCCAAATACAACACCAGTGCACTGTTGCCAACCTCCATTGTGGAGAATTGCTAAATTTAACATAAACATTGTTAAAAGTTCAACAGAGGGAATGGACAAGATGCACACAAACAAAAGCAAACGTTTCGACCAAAGTCTTTATCAAGGGAATACTATATAAATTCAACTGAAATGCTATTTTCAGTTGAATTTATTCAGTTTTGTGCTTTATTTTATGAAAACTATATAGTATAGTACTCAATTTATAGTATTCTGTCAATACTTTGGTTGAGATGTTCGTTTGTGTTTTTGTGTATCATATCCATTGACTCTGTTGAGCTTTTTACTCACATTTTGTGTTATGTTCAGCATTTCTCCACAATCAGCTCGACCGCAGTCATCCCCTGTTTACTTCATTGTAGAGACAATGTGAAATTGTAAACAAGTATGAAACAAAACATTTTATGTCAAATAACAAAAGAAGTGTTGAAAAGGCGCTTAGTGAAGAACACAATAAAGGCATGACCTCAGAAACCATTGAGGTGTGAAGATACAACAGCTGTATACAGTGTGCCAGATGTGAGAGTGTAAAGTTACAATTGAGAGGATACACTTCATTGTACCTGCCTTCTCACAGCTGTGACAGGATGTCGAGGAGACAGTAGACAAGCGTCTGGTTGTTTGTGCTCTAGTGTCTGTCTTATTTGGATAGTGTCAATGCCAATGTATCTTACAGCACCCTTCTCCCCCTACCCCCACACGCACACACAAATGCACAGAGAGAGAGAGAGTGAGAGCGAGCAAAGAAAGGGTAGGGGGGATGTAATACACAGGCAGAGAAACAGAAAACATACAGTACACTAGGAAATATAAATGTCTCTAGGATCTAGTATAACGTGTTAGGTTACAAACCAATGGAGCTGTATTTTTGTGTGTGTCAGCCCAGCTCCAGCTTACAAGTACTTGAGACTTCTCTAAGAAGACAGACAAGAAAGGAAGGTTTTCATGATGTTACCACATACATCTCTGGCTTAGAACAGGATCATTAAGTTTAATTAACTGAGGGGCCAACATATTGGAGCAAAGTGAGTTTTAGTTTCTTCACCACTCAAATCTTCGACTTAGAAGAGGGTCACTCAGTTTAATTTACCCCTTTGTTAAAATTTGTAAGCAAGAAAGGTTTTTTCTTCATCATATAAATCTTTGGCTTAGAACTGGGTCAGTCAATTTAATTTATTCTGGGGTCAACATGGTGGGAAATAAGAATCTTTGCAGACCAGAGGCCTAAACCCCAGTATAGAAAGATCATTAATACAGTACATTAATAAAGCAAGTGGTCCGCGGACCATTTGCTAGGCCTGTGTGGGCCAGATTTGTCCTGCAGACTGCCTGTTGAATAGCTCTGGCTTAGAACCTTCACAGCAACACCAGAGTAGCTACCTGGCAGGACTTACCTGTGTTGCAAGTCCCTATGATAAGCAGCTATTCTGCTGGAAATGCCTGACCTGATCTTCTGCTTTCACCACCAGGTTGATGATGTCAGCTCCGGAACACAAGATGGACCACGGGTGGGCCTGGGTGGTCCTGGCCGGCAGCTTCATGTCCCTCTTTCTCATATGTTTCCTGACGGCCTCCGCAGGAATAATTCAGGTAACAGTGTAGTGTCAGGTGACACTCATTTGTCAGGTGATATTTTAGTGCCAGGTGACACTCTAGTGTCAGGTGACATTTTTAGTGTCAGGTGACATTTTTTGAGTGTCAAATGAGATTCTAGAGTCAGTTTAAACTTGAGCATCAGAACAGTTGTAGTCAGATACACAAAGACTCAAAATGGATAAGACTGAACTCCCTTATCAATCCCTCTTATGGACATTGGAAGGGAAAAGAAAACGGAAAAGATCAAGAGAGGCCCTGTGTAGAACCATCATCAGAGAAGGCTCAACCATGGGCCCAGTGAATATCTGAGACCTAAAACAGGTGGCAACGAACCACCAGACATGGAGAGCTATGACCTCTGCCCTATGTGCCAGCTTGAGCTTAAGAGGAAAAAGTAACTAACTAACACAAGACAAGCTATGTCAGACACGTGAGACTATATACAGTGGTTCATGGCTAGGCTAAGTAATTTCTCTACACGATTTACTTGTAAACAAAATTTCTTTTCTACATGATTTTCTTGTTAATATCACCAACTTTGTTCATGACCTTTTGTTCATCCCCTGCTTGGGTTCCGGGGTCCCATCTTTGGGGTGGGGTGGGGGGGGGGAACAAAAAGACCCACTGCTTCCTTAACAAGCATGTTGTAAGAGTCGTTTTAAAATCAGAATGCATCTGATGCACCAGCCTGTATAAAAATAAGTCAAATAGTTAGAACAGATGTTTACACAAAACTCAATTTCTGGAACAAAACCCACAAGAGGATGAACAACCAGAATTTCTGACTGAATTTACAGCCGGTAAAGCTAAAAAGAAGAGTTGTTAACGATTTTCTTATTCATATTATCATTTCTCTACACAATTTGCTTGTAAATAACATCATTTCTCTACACAATTTTCTTGTAAATAACATCATGCTTCCAAATGATCTTAGGTGGAGATGGTTGAAGACCTGGGAGTTGGTGCCGGACCAGTGTCACTGATGACCTCTTTTGCCCTTGGACTGGCCTCTCTGTTAGGTAGCTGGATGTTCTGCTTTCCTGAGGTGCCCAGTTATATTGCCCTTATCTCACTTCTACTGAACCACACACCTGGCAAAATTTAATCTATTGAATTGACTAAGAAGCATGAAGATGTTGGGGGAAAAAAATGTGGTAGGGAGGCGGGGGGGGGGGGGGGGGGGGGACAAACACCACAAAAACAAGGAGGAGATTATTCTGGCCAAACGTGGAAGTATGTGAATAACTATCAAATTTAGGAAGAGAAATAAGAAAAAGATGCAAAACAACTCAAATAATAAATAAAGGAACAAAAATAGCAGTAGTAGTAATAATAATAATACTAGAGATCAAATAAAATCAAAGTAGTGAGAGTAATGACGGTGGTAGTAGTAGAAATATTTTTTTGAGTCACAGTTCAGTAGATAAATTTCTTGCTACCAGCTTGACGGCACTCACTCCTGTGTTTTTTATCACAAACCCACAAGTGAATTTGAAGGGTGGATACTGGATTGTCTACATCCGATAGACCACCTTATGTCGGGTATTCACTATCCACAAGCCAGGGCAGTTTTCAGTGTTGAACAGCTGATAGAGCTGATACAGCTGGTTCTCTGTAGCCTGTAATGCTTTTATTATTTTCTCAAGTAGAATATTTGTTCTAGATAAAACATGTCCCGTGATAACATTTGTACGGGAAGCCCTGAGTCTGTCAGTGCAGTAATTTATACTCTGAAACATGAGGAGGCTCCGACATTTTGGTTGTGTAAATAGACGACTACAGCAGCAGACAGTGTCAGTGATTATGTTTTTTGAAACAACGGATCAACATCATGGCACAAGGGTAGTAACTCATAGGTGCTTCAATCTACTAACTCAAGTCTGCCTCTGAAGAATCTCGGTGCAGTGCATGAACTCCGTAGCACCGGCGAGAAGTCAGTGAATGTTCTTTCATTTGTCCACATCTGACTGTGTTGGGAGTATTTCTTAACTCTCCCCATACACACACACACACACACACAAAAACCTGCACACATTCCCATTCACGAATGCATTTATTTCTGCCGATAGTCTTGTCACACATATTCTAGTGGATTTGTCATTAATCCCATTTGCTCAAGTGTCTCTTCACACTTGCATCAGCCACTCAGAATGTCCATAGCATGCTTATAGACTAATCATCTTTACCCAGACAGCATAGTCTCCACATCTGTACTATTTGATTGTTATGCAGACAACACTGTCTAGACATGTGTACTAACTTATATTTATCCAGACAACACAGTCTAGACATGTGTACTAACTGATCTTCTATCCAGACAACACAGTCTTAACATGTGCGCTAACTTATTTCTATCCAGACAACACTGTCTAGGCATGTTTACTAACTGATATCTATCCAGACAACACAGTCTAGACATGTGTACTAACTGATCTTTATCCAGACAACACAGTCTTAACATGTGCGCTAACTTATTTCTATCCAGACAACACAGTCTAGACATGTGTACTAACTGATATCTATCCAGACAACACAGTCTAGACATGTGTACTAACTGATATCTATCCAGACAACAGTCTAGACATTTGTACCGACTGATATTTATCCAGACAGCACAGTTTAAACCTGTGTACCAGCTGATCATTATCCAGACAGCACACTCTAGACATGTGTACTAACTGATCTTCATCCAGACAGCAGTGTCTAAACATATGTACTAACTGATCTTTGTCCAGACAGCACAGTCTAGACATGTGTACCAACTGATATTTATCCAGACAACACACTCTAGACATGTGTACCAACTGATATCTATCCAGACAACACTCTCTAGACATGTGTACCAACTGATATTTATCAAGATGACACACTCTAGACATGTGTACCAACTGATATCTATCCAGACAACACACTCTAGACATGTGTACTAACTGATATCTATCCAGACAACACACTCTAGACATGTGTACCAACTGATATCTATCAAGATGACACACTCTAGACATGTGTACCAACTGATATCTATCCAGACAACACACTCTAGACATGTGTACCAACTGATATCTATCAAGATGACACACTCTAGACATGTGTACTAACTGATATCTATCCAGACAACACACTCTAGACATGTGTACCAACTGATATTTATCCAGACAACACAATTTAGACATGTGTACAGATCTTGTCCAGACAGCAAAGTCTAGATATGTGTGCCAACTGATAATTATCCATATAGCACAGACTAGGCATATGTTCTAACTGATCTTTATCAAGACAGAACAGTCTAGACATGTGTACCTACATATATTTATCCAGACAGCACAGTCTAGACATGTGTATCAACTGATTTTTATCCAGACAGCACAATCTAGACATGTGTAGTAACTGATCATTTTTCAGACAGCAGAGTCTGGATATATGTACTAACTGACCTTTATACAGACAGCAGAGTCTAGATATATGTACTAACTGATCTTTATACAGACAGCAGAGTCTGGATATATGTACTAACTGATCTTTATATAGACACCACAATCTAGACATGTGTACTAACTGATCGTTTTACAGACAGCAGAATCTAGACATGTGTACTAACTGATCTTTATATAGACACCACAATCTAGACATGTGTACTAACTGATCTTTATATAGACACCACAATCTAGACATGTGTACTAACTGATCTTTATACAGACAGTAAAGTCTAGATATATGTACTAACTGATCTTTATACAGACACCACAATCTAGACATATGTACTAACTGATCTTTATACAGACAGCAGAGTCTAGATATATGTACTAACTGATCTTTATACAGACAGCAGAGTCTAGACATGTGTACTAACTGATCGTTATACAGACAGCAGAGTCTAGACATGTGTACTAACTGATCTTTATACAGACAGCAGAGTCTAGAAATATGTACTAACTGATCGTTATACAGACAGCAGAGTCTAGACATGTGTACTAACTGATCTTTATACAGACAGCAGAGTCTAGATATATGTACTAACTGATCTTTATACAGACAGCAGAGTCTAGACATGTGTACTAACTGATCTTTATACAGACAGCAGAGTCTAGACATGTGTACTAACTGATCGTTATACAGACAGCAGAGTCGAGACATGTGTACTAACTGATCGTTATACAGACAGCAAAATCTAGACATGTGTACTAACTGATCGTTATACAGACAGCAGAGTCTAGACATGTGTACTAACTGATCGTTATACAGACAGCAGAGTCTAGACATGTGTACTAACTGATCGTTATACAGACAGCAGAATCTAGACATGTGTACTAACTGATCGTTATACAGACAGCAGAGTCTAGACATGTGTACTAACTGATCGTTATACAGACAGCAGAGTCTAGATATATGTACTAACTGATCGTTATACAGACAGCAGAGTCTAGATATATGTACTAACTGATCGTTATACAGACAGCAGAGTCTAGATATATGTACTAACTGATCGTTATACAGACAGCAGAGTCTAGATATATGTACTAACTGATCGTTATACAGACAGCAGAGTCTAGACATGTGTACTAACTGATCGTTATACAGACAGCAGAGTCTAGACATGTGTACTAACTGATCGTTATACAGACAGCAGAGTCTAGATATATGTACTAACTGATTGTTATATAGACAGCAGAATCTAGACATGTGTACTAACTGATCGTTATACAGACAGCAGAGTCTAGACATGTGTACTAACTGATATTCTCACTGTTTGGGCAGGTCCTTTGAGTGGAATCCTGGCCAGCTTGCTGTCTGCCAGAGTCACTGTGTTCCTGGGTTCTGCTCTGATGTCACTGGGCATGTTGGCTACCAGTTTGTCCTACTCTGTGTCTGCCATGATGTTTTTCTATGGATTTGTAACAGGTACTGTGTAGAGTTAGGGATTTAATGGTAGGGCCTTTCTAATCTTCAACTGTTGACCTTGATGATAGAAATAGTACTTCTTCTTCACCATTTGTCCAAGAGACCTCATTTGTATTGTGCCTGTTCACAGCATAGATATAACATTTGATCCTTTCCATCACACAATTGACGAACAGACTTCTAATGATGGACATTTGAGCCTAATCAGCAGTTTAGTACGACTTTTGGTTGACAAATGGTTGAACCAAGGATTATCATATAGGAAGATATTAGGCCAGTGAGCTTCTTGAACCAAGGATTATCATATAGGAAGATATTAGGCCAGTGAGCTTCTTGAACCAAGGATTATCATATAGGAAGATATTAGGTCAGTGAGCTTCTTGAACCAAGGATTATCATATAGGAAGATATTAGGCCAGTGAGCTTCTTGAACCAAGGATTATCATATAGGAAGATATTAGGCCAGTGAGCTTCTTGAACCAAGGATTATTGTATAGTAAGATATTAGACCAGCGAGCTTTTTGAACCAAGGATTATTGTGTAGTAAGATATTAGACCAGCGAGCTTCTTGCACCAAGGATTATTGTAAAGTAAGATATTAGACCAGCGAGCTTCTTGAACCAAGGATTGTTGTATAGTAAGATATTAGACCAGCGAGCTTCTTGAACCAAGGATTGTTGTATAGTAAGATATTAGACCAGCGAGCTTCTTGCACCAAGGATTATTGTAAAATAAGATATTAGACCAGCGAGCTTCTTGAACCAAGGATTATTGTATTGTAAGATATTAGACCAGCGAGTTTTACTCATGTTCCGAATCGGGTTCTGATTTACGTTATCACCCATGTATTAGGAGTGGGCTGGCGAGATCCAAAGTATTTATAGACATTACATGTGTGAGGATCACCAACTTCAAGCTTAGTCTAGGACAAGGACATGAGGCAGAAGGAGTCTTGCATTAAAATCCATAAAACCAGCACTGAGCCAGCTTGTGCCTGAGGTGAGGTAAAGAGTACTTATTTATACACATCACAATGACTTTTAACTTTCTCTCACGACTGTGACCAAAATGACCATACTTCTGATGGACATACAATAACAAAGAAGTGGTCAGAATTGCATCTTATTCCAAGACAAATTTTGGAATCCATTTGATGAGGCTGAGTTAAACCAGGGGTCATAAGGTCATTGAAAAATACCCCTTCGTCATAAATCCAGGACCAGGGGTCAGTGGATGGATGCTCTAGTTGGGATTCCTGGTTCATAAAAAAGTCTTCAAAGAGAAGTCTGGTTCTACAGGCTTAACTTTTATTTTGTAACTGTCGTCCCCAATGTGGGATTCCATTTTTAGTTACTCTGAAGCCCCACCCTGGCTTTTGCCGGGGGCTCTCAATATATAGCCAGACAAGAAATATGGCCTAACGGCTGAATGGGGTTTCTGGGACCTCTCTACTGGTGATCCTCATCTGCATGGTGGTCTTTGTGTCACTGGGTGTTAATCACTTTGTTTGATGTCCTGTCCTGGTGGGGTACATGCATACATATATCTTATATCAACAGATATTGTGATAGCAAGTTTGATTGTGTTTATGTCAGAAAACAATTTTATTTAAAAAAAAAGTATTGTAGATCAGCAAGCAGTAGCAGAGGACATCTGAAAAAGCAGGTAACAGATGAGGGTCATGTCTCTTCACACACAATGAAAGTACACGGGTCTCATGAGCTTTAAGGGGAGACTATTGAATAAACAAATCTGGCCTTAACCCCGTCCAAGTGATGTCCCCTGCTCTGGTTTTGCTGTTGTATGTGTTCATTGGCTGGAAACCCTGGCAGAAAGACCTGGTTGTTCCCCCATTCCTGGACTTTGGCTGTGTTCCAGGACCTGAGTTTTGCATGTGCATCCGTTTTACAGATCTTGCTTATTTGTATTCAAACTGTTGGTTCTTTGCCTCCCAGGTAAATGTACTCCGACTTTGAAGGAAGCCCCCAATTAGTCAACTCCTTGTTGGGGAGGCAGTAGGTCTTCTTGTTTTCTTGTGTTTCCTTCAGACATCATCATCTAGAGACATTGTATGTGATTTCATGTCGTCTCATTCTCTTGCAGGGCTGGGCTTTGGCATAGCCTACTCTCCCATGGTGGTCATCACAAGCTTCTACTTTGAGAAGTACAGAATGTTGGCCAATGGAGTCATCCTGTGTGCCTCAGGAGTCGGCATGTTGTCTCTGCCGTTATTTGAGCGCTACCTCATCGACTCCCACGGCTGGAGATTTGCTTTTGCGTTCAATGGTGCCATCATGCTTCACATCCTGGTCTTTGCTGCTGTATTTTTCCCAACTGAAATAGAGAAGAGGAGCATGATCCAGTTCTCTTTCTCTTCTCTTTGGAAAAGGAAGGCGCGAAATGAGAAAACTGCACTTGAGAAACATAGGAACAATAATACAGTTGATGGAAGCTGCGAGCCTGAGAGAGTGTTTGTTAGCTGTCATCAGATAACCAATGGAGGAGTGCAGTTGAAAACCTTGGAGCTGATTCGCAAGTCTGCACTTCTGGTGGACAGCAGCAGTGTCCAGTCTAAGTCTCAGAATGGGTCTGTGTGTGGCAACGAAACAGATTCAAACATTTTTGTCTCTGCAGCGAAACTCGATGGAGACAAATCTGTCCAACCACTGTTAGACAACTCACAATTAACTTTAGCAACAGAAGCAGCATTCAAATGTGGCTTGCTGTCAGAGGACAAGGAATCTGGAGTTTTTCATGCAAGTCCTTTCAGATCAAGGACATTATCAGAATTGAGTGCTCGCTCTGCAGGAAGCACAGTTACACAAACATCCACACGTGGTTGCGTCCATCCGAAAGAGACGTACACATTTGGGCAGCTACGTAAAGACTGTTCAGGTGGCAGAAGTTACCTCGGCAGCAGTTTTGGTTGGGCATCTTCTGATCTGGGAAGTTCCTTGATGCTGCCAGTGAAAATAGAAGAAATGATCAGCGGAGACATTGAGCAAAAGTCTAGTCTCTGGAGGCAAATAATCAGGTAACTGTTAGTTTGTAACAGGTGAGTGTGTTCAAGTGCTTGTGGCCAACTCTCGCAGGGAGATAATTATTTTTTAATTTATTTAGTCAAACAGGCAACTGTTGGTAGAAAGCATTTAAAAATCGCACTTAACCTCCTTTACCTGGATCTACACACCTGGTCATGCTAAGGTAAAGGGTAATGAGCGAGCAGATCAACTGCCAGCAGTGCACCAATACATGCGGGAAGATGCGTGGACATAGCAGATATCAATGCTGTACGGACTGGGATAATGATGAATCTCTGACACTTTAACACGATTGTGTGACATGGGAGTAAAGCATGGTGAAGAACGTCTATGACACCTTCGAGGCCGAGATAGGAGACAACATAACCAACCTCTCATGGAAATAATTAGTAGAAATACCTCGGAGTGGTTGCTGCTTAGAGGACTGAGCACATATGGAAATGCACAGTGTGCACTGAAGTTGATTATGGTAACATAACCTAACATGACAAGATACCATGAAATCTGATTACACATTTAAAAAACTGATTGTGTCTGCCGTGAGCCTACACATCATTTCTGTAATGTCTCCTCTGCACTTAATCTTTCTCGTGCAGATTTAACACTAGCTCTGTTGTCTAGGTGTTATGTCACAGTTCACTCTAGCCAAACTTCTCTTGTCTCCAACTGTCACACATCTTTAAATGACAGTCGATGACAGTTGACAGCACCTCACAGGTTTGTTGTCAATACAACACAAGTGACAAGAATCAACAGTAGAACTAATCACTTACGCCATACAGGCAATCTCGCCTTGCTCACACTCTGAGTCTCCAGCCATGCTTCAGATGATGAACGCTGGCATGTACACAACAGGCATAATCAACAGGCCATAGAACACAATTGCTATCCTAAACAGTAATTCAGCACAGCTCCATGCCTTGTCCTTCAAGACTAATATTCACTCGATTCTCATCCAGATCCATTTTTATACTTATCACTCTGGATTCAGTTCACTTCCTTTCAATCTCAGGTCCAGTCACAGAATGACCACCTCATTCTCAATCCCCCAGATCTCACATTTACACGTGACTTGCTCAGTTCTGTCTTTTCACAATCTCCCCGTGAAACCCATGCTATTAGGGACTTTCCCACTTCTGTCATTCAGCCATTTCCCCATGACCGATGATTCACTCAGTCATACCCTGACGTTATCCCTATTTATAGCATCATTACAATTTCTCTCGCTAACATCATCTTTTCTGTTTCCTTGTCCAGGATATGCAGACACAGAGCGGTCTGGATTCTGTCGGTCAACAGCTTGTTCTTTCTGGGTGGTTTTGCCATTCATGCAGTCCATTTCCCTGCCTTTGCTGAGAGCAAGGGGATGTCGCGGGCTGAGGTGGCCAGCTTCTACATTGTCTTTGGCACGCTGCTGATGATTGGGAGACTGGGCGGAGGCTGGCTCTTTAACAAGTTAGTGCCACTATTTTGTTATCTTTATGTGATGGCAGGTGGTTAGATGTGACCAGGTGGTTAGATGTGACCAGGTGGTTAGATATGACCAGGTGGTTAGATATGACCAGGTGGTCAAATGTCATCAAGTGGTTATATCTGACCAGGTGCTTAGATATGACCAAGTGGTTAGATCTGATCATGTGTTTAGATGTTACAAAGTTGTTAGATGTGGCCAGATGGTTAGACCTGACCAGGTGGTTAGTTTTCACCAGGTTGCTAGGTGTTACAAGGTGGTTAGACCTGACCAGGTAGTTAGATATGACCAAGTGGTAAGATCTGACCATATGGTTAGATGTTACAAAGTGGTTAGATGTGACCAGATGGTTAGACCTGACAGGTAGTTAGATACGACCAGGTGGTTAGATATGACCAGGTACTATGTGTAACCAGATGGTTGGATCTGATCACGTTGTAAGATGTGACTAAGTAGTTATATGTAATCAAGAGATCTGGTTTAGCCAGGTAGTTAATAAGTGGCCAGACTGTTAGATGTACATGTTGGCTTGCATTCATATTAGTACCCATGTTTGTTTAACTAATTCCCTCCTGCAGACTCAAGCCTCCCTTGTGTGTCCTGATGTTTGTCCTGCAGTCGGTGAATGGAGTCTCCATGGCTCTGGCTCCGTTCTACGCCACCAATCCAGTGGGCATCTATGTCATGCAGGTGATTGACTGTACAGTGATTACTAATTGATGTGGTAGGGGGGTGGTAGTAGGACAAGTGAGGGGTGGAGCTAGCAATGTGGCCACACCTGGTGTGACAATTGATGGGTGGAGCTAGCAGTGTGGGCTCACCTGGTGTGACAATTGATGGGTAGAGCTAGCAGTGTGGGCTCACCTAGTAGGATGATTGACGGGTAGAACTAGCAGTGTGGGCTCACCTAGTAGGATGATTGACCTGTGGAGCTAGCAGTGTGGGCTCACCTAGTAGGATGATTGACCTGTGGAGCTAGCAGTGTGGGCTCACCTAGTAGGATGATTGACCTGTGGAGCTAGCAGTGTGGGCTCACCTAGTGGGATGATTGACCTGTGGAGCTAGCAGTGTGGGCTCACCTAGTGGGATGATTGACGGGTGGAGCTAGCAGTGTGGGCTCACCTAGTGGGATGATTGACGGGTGGAGATAGCAGTGTGGGCTCACCTAGTGGGATGATTGTGGGCTCACCTAGTGGGATGATTGATGGGTAGAGCTAGCAGTGTGGGCTCACCTAGTAGGATGATTGATGGGTGGAGCTAGCAGTGTGGGCTCACCTAGTGGGACAATTGATTGGTGGAGCTAGTCATTTGGTTTTAACACAGTGGGACAGGTGAAGGGTGAAGCTAGCAATGTGGGTTCACAGTGTGGGACAGTTGATGGGTGGAGCTAGCAGTGTGGGCTCACCTAGTGGGACGATTGACAGGTGGAGCTAGCAGTGTTGGCTCACCTGATGGGACAATTGACGGGTGGAGCTAGCAGTGTGGGCTCACCTAGTGGGATGATTGATGGGTGGAGCTAGCAGTGTGGGCTCACCTGGTGGGACAATTGACGAGTGGAGCTAGCAGTGTGGGCTCCCCTAGTGGGATGATTGACCTGTGGAGCTAGCAGTGTGGGCTCCCCTAGTGGGATGATTGACCTGTGGAGCTAGCAGTGTGGGCTCCCCTAGTGGGATGATTGACGGGTGGAGCTATCAGTGTGGGCTCACCTGATGGGACAATTGACGGGTGGAGCTAGCAGTGTGGCCTCACCTAGTGGGATGATTGACGGGTGAAGCTAGCAGTGTGGGTTCACCTAGTGGGACGATTGACAGGTGGAGCTAGCAGTGTGGGCTCACCTAGTGGAATGATTGACGGGTGGAGGTAGTCATGTGGTTTAAAACAGTGAGACAAGTGTGTGGCGGAGCTAGCAATTTGGTTCACAGTGTGGTACAAGTGATGGGTGAAGCTAGCAGTGTTTTGGCAAGAGCTGAACATATTTATTTTTGTTTTTTTTTTTAATTTGAAACAAGATTGATAGAAAACAGTTCACAGAAACACTAGGAAACAGAACTAATATATATTATGTGTGCGTAGTGTGTGTGCGTGTGTGTGCAGCTGTGTATGTGTGTATATATATCTGTCTGTCTGTCTGTCTATCTATCTGTCTATCTATATATCTATATATAGATATATATATAAAACTTTCTGATATGTTGTTGTTATCTTGTGGTGTATATCATTGTTATGTGATAACATTTCCCTGTGGCTGTCAACAGGCAAGTTTTGGACTTCTCTACGGCCAGTCGTACATGGTCTTACCTGCAGTTTTGGCCGAGATTATGGGGGTTCAGGATCTGACCATTGCCTTCGGGATCATCCACCTGTTTATGGGTCTTGGCTACATCATTGCTCCAGCCATCGCAGGTAGACTTTCTGACACACACACACACTATCTTTCCAGCATTTTCATTTTAACAAGCATCACTTCGAAGGTCCCGAGTAGTTAGCATCCTTTGGATATTTTATCCAGGGTATACTGGTGTGTTTGGAAATGAGCAGGCAGATAGACTGGCCAGTTCTTCACCACTTGGCGGTGAACTGATATATGACAAGCTGAATATTGTGAGGGCCCTTTGGGAGCAAGTGAACAGTGCCTAGGAACAGATAGATCACTGCGGACTGAGGAGAATGGCACTGCCAGGAGTTACAAGGGGATCTGGCCGACACTCGACACTCAGGGGAAAGGTGAGACGGATATACAATCAGACAGTTACTGGTACCATCAGAATGGCGTACATCCCTCAGGCATGGTGCATCGGCCTGCCAGGCAGTGGAGGTTGCACAGGCAGAGAAACGGAGGCAGACTAGAAAGAACCATAACGCTAATCCCACACTTACTGCGGCTTCCATCTGTTGTCCGCACTGCTCAAGAACTTTTCTGGCTCATACTTCGTACTCATAATCATTAATCATTACTACTTTGGATGAAAGTGGTCTTCATCACTGATGATGGACGAAAAACAACTGTGGATGCACTTACACTCTTGGATGGCACCGGCAGAAGTCACTCATGTTTCTGCAGTTTCCAAGATAGTGCCTGTGATAGTGCCACCCAGTACCTTGCATAGGGGGATGGTTACTTTAGGTTCATGATTTCAGGAATGAAAAGATGGTGAAATATGGGTACTAAGCAACAGCTGACCATTTGCAGTTCACACTCAGGTGATAATATTGTTCTTACAGATGGATCTGTAGTGAGAGACAAATAGTAGGTGAGGTTTTATTATGAAGGTGAACATGATACTGCTTATAGAGAACCTGACATACAACATACAGCATGAAAATGGAGTCGGAGGCAGTTGCAGCTTGATGTGTACTTGTAAAGAGCTCACAAAGCATGTGTCAAAAATTAAAAACGGATGATCTTCATGTACATTCATCTTTTGATTCACTTAATTTGACATGAATCGGAATGTTTATATATCTTGTGTGACAGGTTTTGTTTCATTTTTGTGTTGCAGGTTTTATGTATGATGCCACAGGGACATATGATATTCCGTACTACATGGGAGGTAGAGTGGCTTTCTCTTCTTCTTGTGACGGTTGTTTTGGGTGTGCCACTGTGAGCAGATCGTTCTCTTTGTCCCACTTGTTATTGTATCAGGGTTTCTCTGTGTCCCACTTGTTATTGTATCAGGGTTTGTGTCCCACTTATTATTGTATCAGTGTTTCTTTGTGTCCCACTTATTATTGTATCAGTGTTTCTCTGTGTCCCACTTGTTATTGTATCAGTGTTTCTCTGTGTCTCACTTGTTATTGTATCAAAGTTTGTGTCCCACTTGTTATCATATCAGTGTTTCTCTGTGTCCCACTTGTTATTGTATCAGTGTTTCTTTGTGTCCCACTTATTATTGTATCAGTGTTTCTCTGTGTTTGTGTCCCACTTGTTATCATATTATTGTAGTGTTTCTCTGTGTCCCACTTGTTATCATATGTCAGTGTTTCTATCAGTGTTTCTCTGTGTCCCACTTGTTATTGTATCAGTGTTTCTCTGTGTCCCACTTGTTATCATATCAGTGTTTCTCTGTGTCCCACTTGTTATTGTATCAGTGTTTCTCTGTGTCCCACTTGTTATTGTATCAGTGTTTCTCTGTGTCCCACTTGTTATTGTATCAGTGTTTCTCTGTGTCCCACTTGTTATTGTATCAGTGTTTCTCTGTGTCCCACTTGTTATTGTATCAGTGTTTCTCTGTGTCCCCCTGGTTATTGTATCAGTGTTTAATCTTGTGTCTGTTTGGCTGATCCTCTTAATTTAGTAATCTTGTGTCTGTTTGACTGATTCTTTCATTAAGTAATCTTGTGTCTGTTTGGCTGATCCTCTTAATTTAGTAATCTTGTGTCTGTTTGGCTGATCCTCTTAATTTAGTAATCTTGTGTCTGTTTGGCTGATCCTCTTCATTTAGTAATCTTGTGTCTGTTTGGCGGATCCTCTTGCTGATCTTCTTCATTAAGTAATCTTGTGTCTGTTTGGCTGATCCTCTTCATTAAGTAATCTTGTGTTTGTTTAGCTGATTCTTTCATTAAGTAGTCTTGTTTCTGTTTGGCTGATCCTCTTCATTCAGTAATCATCTGATCCTCCTCTTCATTAAGTAATCTTGTGTTTGTCTGGCTGATCCTCTTCATTAAGTAATCTTGTGTCTGTCTGGCTGATCCTCTTCATTAAGTAATCTTGTGTCTGTTTGGCTGATCCTCTTTACTAAGTAATCTTGTGTTTGTCTGGCTGGTATTCTTTACTAAGTAGTCTTGTGTTTTGTTTGGCTGATCCGTTTTACTGAGTAATCCTGTTTCTTGTCTGATCCTGTTCACTGAGTAATCCTGTTTCTTGGCTCACATATCTGAGTCTTCTTGACAAATGCCACTTTCAATGGCACACACTATCAGTTTCAGACTCTTAGTTTGTCAGATACTACATTTTTAGCCTATACACAACATCTGTACCCACAAGCTGTATCTTTTGTAGCTAAGTCACACAATAGTTGTGTATCTAACTTCTGTATTCACAACCTCTATATCATGAAGACATTACACTTTGTCACACAATAGTTGTGTATTCAACCTCTAACTCTTCTAGATATATCTCATTTTGTCACACAATAGTTGAGTATCCAACATCTGTACCCACAACCTCTATATCCTGTAGACACCACACTTTGTCACACAGTATTGTGTATCTAACATCAACCTCTATCTATCACACTTTGTCCCACAACAGTTGTGTATCTAACATCAACCTCTATCTCTTGTAGATATATCACACAGCAGTTGTGTATCTAACATCTGTACCCACAACCTCTATATTCTGTAGACATCATACTTTGTCACACATTACTAGTGTATCTAACATTTGTACCTACAACCTCTGTATCATGTAGACATCACACTTTGTCACACAATCATTGTGTATCTAATATCAACCTCTTTCTTTTGTAGATATATCTCATTTTGTCACACAATAGCTGTGTACCCAATATCTGTACCCACAACCTCTATATCCTGTAGGTATCATACTTTGTCACACAATAGCTGTGTATTCAACATCAACTCTACTTCTTGTAGATATATCACACAATAGTTGTGTATCTAACATCAACTCTACCTCTTGTAGATATATCACACAATAGTTGTGTATCTAACATCAACTCTACCTCTTGTAGATATATCACACAACAGTTGTGTATCTAACATCAACTCTACCTCTTGTAGATATATCACACAACAGTTGTGTATCTAACATCAACTCTACCTCTTGTAGATATATCACACAATAGTTGGGTATCTAACATCAACTCTACATCTTGTAGATATATCACACAATAGTTGTGTATCTAACATCAACTCTACCTCTTGTAGATATATCACACAATAGTTGTGTATCTAACATCAACTACCTCTTGTAGATATATCACACAATAGTTGTGTATCTAACATCAACTCTACCTCTTGTAGATATATCACACAATAGTTGTGTATCTAACATCAACTCTACCTCTTGTAGATATATCACACAATAGTTGTGTATCTAACATCAACTCTACCTCTTGTAGATATATCACACAACAGTTGTGTATCTAACATCAACTCTACCTCTTGTAGATATATCACACAATAGTTGTGTATCTAACATCAACTCTACCTCTTGTAGATATATCACACAAAAGTTGTGTATCTAACATCAACTCTACCTCTTGTAGATATATCACACAACAGTTGTGTATCTAACATCAACTCTACCTCTTGTAGATATATCACACAATAGTTGTGTATCTAACATCTGCACCCACAGGAAGCTTGTATCTGCTGGGAGCTCTGAGTCTTCTTCTAATGATCTTTGTCAAAAGAGAAGCTGATACTGGTCATATGGTCAATGATATGCAACAACACACGGAACAGAGACCAGATGGTGATGAAGAACAAATTACCACTCCACTTGTAGCATCACACAGCAGCAGACCTGTGGCAGAATCAGGAGCACAAAATACAAAACCTGCAGCGGAAGAGGAGAAACTATGCTTTTGAAAACATAATGTATGAGTGAGTGTGTCAACTGAACCACAGCAGAATCTGGTTCCAGCTGTGGGTTAGTTCCCCCCGCCTCCACCCCCTTGCAAACCGCAAATCAGTTTCTGTCAAACTCCCTTAATCTCACTGGCAATTTGTGCATATCTAGTTTTAGAATAGCTGACCTTAGAGAATTGTAAAGTTTGAGGTTTGAACAATGGATCAACATCATGGCACACGGGTAGAAACCCATAAGTGCTCTATTCTTTCTTCCAACTTGAGTCTGAGTCCGAAGAAGGTCAGCACAGTACACAGGCTCTGTAGCACCGGCAAGGATCCTGAAATCTTGAACTCAAAATTTTTGCCATTGGGCTACTCTTTTCGATTTCCAACTGCCAAGGGATTTTTTTACATGCGCAACAATGTACACAGGCATCCGATCTCACTACCCAGAGACCAGGGGGAATTACTAGAAGTCAATTAGATTCTATGTTTCATTTCACTGTCTCCGTTTGCTCCCCCCTCCCCCAATCGAAACCAGGAATAGAAACCAATAGGATAACAATCATTGACGAAGCTGAAGGTTGAAATTGATGAACTTAGTCATTTAGTATCTTGTTTGTGAGACTAACACAGATGTTAAAATTCCCTAAGCTGGTATGGCTTACTATCAAGAATTTCTTACTGTCTGTTGAGAAAACCAGTGCATTCTTAGGTTCAGAAAAGCGAATGAAAGTGAGTTTAGGGGTAATTTATCTGAAGTAGATGTTACAGACATTTACAACTTGAAATTAGCAATTCACTGTGATCAGTGACAACCACTTGTAGACTGGGTTCCGGAGTCCCATGTGAGGGGAAAAAGAATAGAACCACTGTCTCCCCCGCCCACAAGCAGGTTATAGGGGTGGACTAATTGAGGACTTCCTTCCAAGTCGGAGTGCATCTGCTCGAGCGGCAAGGAACAACCAACTGCACACAAATAAGCCAGTAAAACGGATGTACACACAGAACTTAGGTCCTGGCACAAAGCCAAAGTTCAAATGAACAAACAAACAGGACTTTTTGCCGTAGTTACAGCCAGTGATGAAGAAGAAGATGATGGTGGTGGCGGTGGCGACAACGATGATGATGAAGAAGAAGAAGGTGTCATATGGTATTTCTGCTTGCTCGGTTACAAAGTGGGATTTGTCAAGAGGACACAGATGTGCGAGCCACTCAGTCGGCCAAGAAGGAAGATTACTCAATGAACAGGACAGTTTGGGGTTAGTTTGATGTTAGTCTCCCCCTTTACACACTAGCTCACTTCTGATTGGTCAACCTTCAGCCTAGCCCACTTCTGATTGGTCAACCTTAAACCACGTTACCTTGCCACAAAGTGACGGTGGTTGTCAGCAATACTGTTGATATTGCGTGTTCTATATTTCAGCACAGCAGTGCTTTTAACACTCCAAAAACATGGACACACTGGGTCTAACACAACGCCCCTAGAGAGTGCTGAAACCAATGTCACAGGCATTCTCTTTCTTGGAATGAAAACGTCATGCAAGACATCAAGGAAACCAAACCAGATAGCGGGACACACTCTTAACCTCCAGGAAAGTCAGCCAGCCCAACAAACTTGATAATAAAAACTGACCTACTTTCTTTGGGGAAACAAACTAAATCATTTTGGATGTCCATACTAATATTGCAAGGATTCTTCATTGACATGAGGTGTCACCACCAGTCTTACACTGTTCTTGTTGCCAAGACGGCAAGAGAACATTGTGACAACATAATTAACTGTGGGAATGGTGTTCTGTTGTCTATATTATTGGTAGTCTCTCACCTGTACAGACTTAAGCTATGTTCACAGCTCAGGTTATCTCAGTGCATGAGAAATTAGTGTAACTATGATCCGGGATAATTCTACTGATGGATTAGACTGTTAACTGAACTCCAGTCTTGTACCTGTGCTGTATTTATAGCATGGAGTGTAGATATAAAGCAGGTATTTCAGCTCCAGTTTTGTTCACAAGAAGGTAGGAAAGCTTGACACAAGGAGGTAGGAAAGCTTGACACAAGGAGGTGGGAAAGCTTGACACAAGAAGGTAGGAAAGCTTGACACACTTGACATAAGAAGGTGGGAAAGCTTGACACACTTGACATAAGAAGGTAGAAAAGCTTGACACACTTGACATAAGAAGGTAGAAAAGCTTGACACACTTGACATAAGAAGGTGGGAAAGCTTGACACACTTGACATAAGAAGGTGGGAAAGCTTGACACACTTGACATAAGAAGGCAGGAAAGCTTGACACACTTGACATAAGAAGGTAGGAAAGCTTGACACAAGGAGTTAGGAAAGCTTGACACAAGGAGTTAGGAAAGCTTGACACAAGGAGTTAGGAAAGCTTGACACAAGAAGGTGGGAAAACTTGACAAACTTGACATAAGAAGGTGGGACAAGCCAAGCTTGATACACTTGACATAAGAAGATGGGAAAGCTTGACACAAGAAGGTGGGAAAGCTTGACACAAGAAGGTGGGAAAGCTTGACAAACTTGACATAAGAAGGTGGGACAAGCCAAGCTTGACACACTTGACATAAGAAGGTGGGAAAGCTTGACACAAGAAGGTGGGAAAGCTTGACACAAGAAGGTGGGAAAGCTTGACACACTTGACATAAGAAGGTGGGAAAGCTTGACACAAGAAGGTGGGAAAGCTTGACACACTTGACATAAGAAGGTGGGAAAGCTTGACACACTTGACGTAAGAAGGTGGGAAAGCTTGATACACTTGACATAAGAAGATGGGAAAGCTTGACACAAGAAGGTGGGAAAGCTTGACACACTTGACGTAAGAAGGTGGGAAAGCTTGATACACTTGACATAAGAAGATGGGAAAGCTTGACACAAGAAGGTGGGAAAGCTTGACACACTTGACATAAGAAGGTGGGAAAGCTTGACACACTTGACATAAGAAGGTGGGAAAGCTTGACACACTTGACATAAGAAGGTGGGAAAGCTTGACAAACTTGACATAAGAAGGTGGGAAAGCTTGACAAACTTGACATAAGAAGGTAGGAAAGCTTGACAACTTGACACAAGAAGGGTGGACTTGACTGACATAAAAAAGGTAGGAAAGCTTGACAAACTTGACATAAGAAGGTAGGAAAACTTGACACAAGAAGGTGGGAAAGCTTGACACACTTGACGTAAGAAGGTGGGAAAGCTTGATACACTTGACATAAGAAGGTGGGAATGCTTGACACACTTGACATAAGAAGGTGGGAAAGCTTGACACACTTGACATAAGAAGGTGGGAAAGCTTGACACACTTGACATAAGAAGGTGGGAAAGCTTGACACACTTGACATAAGAAGGCAGGAAAGCTTGACACACTTGACATAAGAAGGCGGGAAAGCTTGACACACTTGACATAAGAAGGTAGGAAAGTTTGACATATCAGACATAAGATGCTGTCTCAATAATTGCAATGGGTTAATTTTTATTTCTAGGTGAGGTACTTCGCTTCATGTAGACCTTATGTGCCATAAAATAGTTTCTGACATGTCATTTCATTTACGCTCTCAAATATTGTATGTAATGAGTAATTTCCTCCATTGGATCTTATTTTCATAAACTATGCTGAATGGGGTGGTCTTAAGAATATGTCAAGTTGAAGTAAACATAAATTTTACGAGGCAAGCACAAATTTTGTGTAGGTGGCCAAAAGTTTACTGTGATGGCTCTATTCTTCTTTCTTCTTTGCGTTCACCAGCTGTAAACAGGTGGAAAGTTCTGGTTGTTATCCACTTCTGGATTGCAGTCCTGTTCCAGAACCTAAGTGTTGCGTGTGCATCCATTTTACAGATCTGACTCATTTGTATGCAGACTGCTTGTTCCTTTCCTCTCAGGCAGATGCACTCCGACTTCGAAGGAGCTCTATTCATATGCAGTCAGCTCTGACACATTTGTTAAGTACTGTAACACAGCAAACTGGGACACACGTTGAGAAAACACCAAAACTTCTGATAACGATTTAGTTTATTCTGCAGCGATGTCCTCTCGATACAAACATGTCAGAGGATAAATGCTGGGGTCCTAATGCCCACAAGCATGTTATTACTTACAATCAAATCACAAGGATTTATACTGTCACTGCATCTGCTGACGCTTGTACTTTTCAAGCTCCCAAAAATTGTGTCAGAAACAACATAGGCACAACTGTCATCCATTCTTCCATTCCGTGCAAGGATTAATTAGCCAGGTTTCTCTAAGTTGGGAAGTTGAAGGAATCACGCTCTCAATTCAGGATTCAGTCATTTCAGGATTCAAGTTGAAGGAATCACGCTCTCAATTCAGGATTCAGTCATTTCAGGATTCAAGTTGAAGGAATCACGCTCTCAATTCAGGATTCAGTCATTTCAGGATTCATTGGCTCCACACACTTCAACTTCTGATGTGACCAGATAAGAAAAAAGCTAAGCTAGCTCAGTTTGCTTAAATAGCCTCTTCCTGCCCTCCTACAATATTCTCACATAAAACATGGCCTGGCCGTTTCTTAGGACTTTTGGCAACCTATGCAAAATCTGTGCTTGCCTCATAAAGTTTGAGCTTGCTTCAACTTGACACTCGGTCTGTTCACACATACATTAAGACCAACCATTCAGCATCACATGTATAATACATAAATAAAACACCTAATAGTGTTGTTGTTGGTAGCACATTGTGGCAGCAATCATAGACTGATGTTTAAACTGCTTTACTGTGCTCGTTTTGAGCCCCTCTGTTATATTGTCTTATGTTTTTTTTTTTTTTTTATATATATATATTGCAATTATTTGCAGGTGTGATCCAATAGATTTAAACTGCCATATTATGAAATAAATTGTGTTCATCAAGGAATATTTAATGTCTTATCTAATTTCTTTGTTTCAATTTTCAGAAATAGGTTAGGGTAATGGAGGGGGAGGGGGGTGGAGGCAATTTAGGGTTGTGGGGGTAGGGGTAGTTAGGGGTTGATGGAGGGTGGGGGG